CATCATAAAACATCCATATATAAAATTTTAAAATGTGTGCAAATAAACAGCCATGTAAAATATATAATGATGAGGATTTTCATTGGGATTTCTGTGTTGCTTTTATAAGAAAGGACTAACACAGTTACTCCTCTGATCTAAAGCTAAGGCATGGTTTCTTATTGCCACCAGAACTACGGTCGAACAGGATTTCAGATGCTCAAAGTCCGTGACTTTGAAGGGCCAATGCAATGGGCAAAAGTGAAATGTTTACCAGGACAGGAGTCTCGCATTGTGCTTGAGGGCTGTGGTCCAGGAGAAAACTACATATATGAAGTCCCCATTTCTCTCCCTCTTTCCCCAACATGATCAGGACGGGAAATATTTATGAAGTGTACTGTAATAACCCAGGCAGGCATTAAAATCCCAATAAGCAATCTGGGAGCCTGCTGCAGCAATTCTCCAAGGAGAATGCGCTTCCGGGGATTTAATGACATTTTAATGCAAACCCTGCAAATAGGAGATTTCCTTCCCAGCTTGGTTCCTTTTAGTCTTCGCACTATTTATTCTGGAATAGTATCTGGCAGGGCCAGTTTTTTAAAAAACAAAAATTGGGGGGGGGGAGAGAGAATGTATGCTGAAACATATTCTGAGCCCCCAACATATCTGACTCATAAATCACACTCTTTCTTCTGCCAGGTTTCACACACAAAGGCAAGCCCACACACCAAAGCATGTTCTGAAGTGCAGGAAAATTTTGTAGCATAGTGCAGTTTCTACACTGGAATTCTCTAGGTGTTTATAGCACAAGAGATGATCCAAACGACTTAAGTGTGGTGCCTTTGGTTGATAACACTCTGCTTATTCTAATTTCCCTGTATTTCATTGAACATACCCAAACAATATACCTAACCTCTTAAAAATCTTGCTACTCCATTAACAAAATAGGATGCTGCCTTACACTCAGTCAAACCATTGGTCCATCTCACTCTCACTGATTGGCAGCGGCTTTCCAGGGTGGCTGGGAAACTCAGCCAGATGGGCGGGGTATAAATAATAAAAATTATTATTATTATTATTATTATTAATCAGACACACATCTGCCCAGCCATACCTGGAGATACTAGGGATTGAACCTAAGATACTCTGCTGGCAAAGCTGATGCTATGGCACTAATTCCTGTCTTCATCTACTGTATTCTGTTTCTTTCATGCTGCTGCCCAAACCTGGTCACTTCACCTTACTGTATGGCTGGGCCAGAGCTAAGTGATCCCTCCAAAAAGGTGAGACTTGCTGGTCCTTATGGTGGAACACATAATTGAACCTGGGTCTCTCACGCCCAGTCCTGAAATGCTATCTGCTACACCACACTGATAACCCAATGCTAAACTCCAGAATTTAAGCTGAGCTCTTGTTTGATGAGCAATGGAAGATCACAGATCCTGTGATCCGAAACAATAAAAAGGGAGCTAATTGCTATACGTTGTTAAAGGTTACCTGTATCATGATCAGGATTCCACTGGAAAACCAGTAGGCTACGCAATAAAGGAAATGCTTACCACCATCTGCCATAAACATATATGCAAAAGTGTTTCAGGACACAATACAGATTTTACAAATGGTCTTTTTTAGCCATCAATTTATGTACAAGTTCTCTAGAAATAGTGTAATTAGCTGTAGTATTGAGCGGAGTCAACACAGCAAGTGCAGCATTTACTTTCAACCAGGGCTCATCCCAAAACATGTTTTGAATGTTAAGAGTTAGAACAGGTGGAAGAATATGAAAACGCAATACTCCAATTCAACCAGCTCCCAACACAGGTGTCTCTATTTGGTCAGGGGGTGTGATTTCTAAGATTTCAGCCTTTTTTTGTATATTACTAGTCAACCTACATACCAGACTTCACATACATGCTCCCCTGCCGCAGATCCCATCAGCCTCAGGGCACCACATTGCATTATTTATAGTCTAACAGCACATTCGTTTGCTGCATGTGGATTCTGGCACTGCAAAAACAGTGCCACCTATGCACAAAAGCGAGGTAGCAGCAGGCTTTGGAGGAAACCCAAGATCTGCAGAAGAACAAAAATATTTGGGGAGGGAGAAGAATCCAAAAGAGCCCAATGAGGACTGAGCATGCTCAGTGGCCAAGCTGCCACGGAGGAGGGGCAGTGCACAGAAAACCAAGCTGGAGGGGTAATAGACAAGAATATCCTTGAAGGTGACGGGGCGGGCTGGCCAGCACCCGGAAAAGCAGCACTCCACACTGCAAAATTTTGTTGCAGCAGGTCCAGTTTGCAAAACCTAAATGGGGCCTCTACGTTCAGGATGCCTCAGAATACCAGTTGCTGCTGGAGGACAAATATTGGAGAGGGTTGCTGCTTTCATGCCGGCTTGCAGACTTCCCAGAACAGGATACTGAACAAGATGCACCCTTGGTGCGGTTCTTCTTAAGTTCTTAGGTCAGCAGAAGTTCATGTCCTTTATTACTATCCTAGGGCAGTTTTGAAGAGTTTGTTTAAGGAAAAACAAGCAGATATGGAATCTTATGCAGTATAACAAAAACCAGGTATAAAAATCAAGTCGTACGCCAATGTAAAACGCTGTACTATCCAAAGTCAATTCAGAAACAGCAGGGAATGTCTAAAACTCCCCTTATTTGGTGATGGGAAGAGGAACTACCCAACTCTCCTCCTCCTCTCCATCATCTGCTGGCCTGCTCCAGGAAATACCCTAAGATTTCATGCAGAGAAAGGGGCCATTATTTGAAAGGCAAGATTTCCTGTACTACTGTCACTTCTGCAGAGGAAACTGCGTGACAGCTGCACGTACAGTTATAGTTGCACGCTTCTGTCTCACAGACATGCCGAGAAGCTGGAAGTGGCTGCAGGTACACAGAACACACATGTTAAATTGATGCAGCCATCTATTTGCAGCCTTGCTGCAGCGTATATTACAGAGATTCCATTTAATTCCCATCTTTCCTCCAATGAGTTCCAGGTGACATTCACGGTTCCCTGTTAACCTCACAACAACCCTGTGAGGTTGGTTAAGATGAGGAGAAACAGTGGCTGGCCCAGGGTCATTCAATGAGCTTCATAGCCCCATAGAGATTTGAGCACTGGTCTTCCAGGTCTTGATTCAAACAAGACATTAACCACAACACCATGCAAAAGCAAGAACAACTGTTCACTTCTACAAAAAGTTCAAAAATCTCATCAACCACAAAAATGACATTAGGCCCGACACAATCTCTCAGCCTGAGTTCCGCGCTCATACCTTGCAGTCATTACTATAGGGGCAACAATACTGGCCTGCCTTACAAGGTTGTTGCACAAATTATGAGAATGCATAATATTTTATGCTTATTTTTTCAATGGGGGTTTATTTCCCCATACATTTCAGATAAGCTTGCACTGGGCAAGAGCACCACTCTATTTAAAATATGTAATTTTAGATAGAAATACAACTGCAGGCGCAAGCCAAACCAGGAATGCCAACCCTTCTCCACTTTTTGTCCCATTCTCATTTAGAGGCATCAAATGTAGTTGGCACCACAAGGACAGGACTTTAGCACGCAATCCAGGTGCCCCATTCAGCAAAATGAGTAGGTGGGCCCTAGATCACCCCACAACTTGAAGCAGGTGAATTAATATACATTCCTATGGGGGGTGGGAGCGCTAGTGAATCAATACACGTTACTGGTGGGAGAGAAGGTATACGACTAAGACCATTAAGTCCAGGATCTAAGACTACCTGGAACAATACATGCCAAGGGAGATCCACAGATCCAGCCAGCATCTATGTAGAAAATGCCACCCCGACGAGATCGCCTGTCGCGACGATGCCACCTTCAAAGCAGACCGATCACGAAGTCCCCGGGTCGCCGAGCCTCACGTCCATGAGCAGCCGGCGCAGAAAGAGCTACTGCGGGCTCCGAGAGCGCCTTGCAGCAGCGGCTACTCAAAAACAGAACCGCGTCTGTCCATCCATCAAGTGCAAAACACACCAATCCAGGCATGCAAACCTGGGGCAGGGAAGGTGAAGCACGCATGCGGCGCGGAGGGAGGGAGGGAGGGGAAGAGGACCGAGGCGATCGCGCGCCTCCCGAGGGATCCCTGGTGGCGCTTTTAAGGAACGCGATGTGCCAAGAACAGCAGCTCGGTGGTTTCTCTCGATCACGACGCTCCGTTGGAGATCTTACCAAGGGCGGGGGAGGGAAAGATCGATCGATCCCCCGCGCCAGCTATGCAGCACATTTCCCGCAAGACGCGCAGCCCCCTTCCCCACCACCCCCCGAACGCAAGCGACCTCCATCTACTGCGCTTTCCCCAAACGTGCGCGTTGCGCGCACAGGACCGTCTTTCTACAGCATTTAAGGACTGGGAACCTTCGCAGGTTGCAGCGATGCTTTTTGCAGCGCCGCCACCACCCTGACCTTCCCCGCCCACCACCAGCACGCTTCAGGACAAATGCATCGACACTGGAAATGGTGGAGAGGGGATATCGGGGGGGGGTACACCGCCCCCCCATTATTTCCCGAAATTGATGGGCAGGGAGAGAAAATGACATAGGAGGAAAAGCGCGGGGGGGTGTCATGCAAAAAAAGAAAAAAGTGAACGAGGGGCTTGCACGGACTCGAGCTCTCCCTACCAGTTAAGAGGCTGCAGTTGCCACTGAGGTCTTTTTACTTGAACTCTGCAGGACCTGCTTCCCCACGAGCGTGCTTTTAAGTTGGGCACGCGGAGAGGCTGCAGCGCCAGCCCGGCTTCCTTGGGGAGCAAAGCTCCATTGGAAACCGACTGGGCTTGCTCCCCGAGTTGCGCGGACAGGACCAGCCTGCAAGTTTCAGGAAGGGGCAGGTTAAGCTATTATTATTAGCAACGGGGAGCCTTCGCTGCAAAACCCAAGGGCGAAGGAGGCGGCCGGTCCGTCTCTTGTCTGCACAGGAGAAGGTGGTTTTCGTCCCCGTCCCCCGATCCACGCAGGGTTGCAAAGGGGCGGCGGCGGGTTCACTCACCTTGCTGGCGTCGGAAGCTACGGAGAGCCGGGACCCTCCGGTCAGGGAGGAAGAGCGCCCCTGCCCGATGTGATCCTGTTGGGGAGACATCGCTTTCATCAAGCACCCCTTTCCCCCCCGCCGCCGCCGTTCAAACAGCCCGAAATACGCCCGGGGTCATCACAGGCTGGTCCTGGGCAAGAGAAGGCGGCTGCGGAAGCCACGGCAACCCCTCCTGCGACCATGAATGAAGCAGCAGCAGCAAAAGGCTTCCGAGCCAACGCCAACGCCGCCGCTACTGCAGCATCTCCACGAGCCCAGCAGCTTCGCAGCGCCGAACAGCTCGCGCGCCAATGCATACAGGCAGCCCGAGTGCTGCAGGCAGCGGCGCAGCTGGCCACGCCCCCCAGAGCGAAGCGCAGGGAAGCTCCGCCACGAGGCTCCGCCCCACAGCAACCCCGCGGTCGCCTCTCGAACCCCGCCTGCTGCAATTACAAGCCCCGCCCCTCGCCACGCCCGCCGAGCGGGACCACACACACACATACACACCGCGTGGTTGGGTCTGCGGTGGAAGTAAAGCGGCTTGATTAATTTTGCTCGTTTGTTAGTCTTCCATTATTGTTGCTAATTTTTGCTGGTTGAATTTCTTCATTAAGAGGCTCGCTGGAACGCTGGTGGTTATTTTATTTCTTTTGTCATTTTTATTATTATGGGTTGTAATTATTGGAGAAACGTCTTGCAACTGCAAGCCGAGGGAGCTGCTATAAGGAAAACAATCGTAAGGGGAGGGGGGGTGTACCTTTATTTAGGGCAGCCAAAATGCCATGAAATAGTGAACAAGCATTTGGGTTGGCTCAGTAAAGGCGTTAGTCTAATGTGGACTTTTCTGTGTGCCTAATAAATAATATTAAGGTTGGCCAACTGAAGGTGTTGCCCTGATGTGAACTTTGGAATTTTGCAATTATCGTAAATAGAACGACCTTTCATGCTTCCTGACAGCAACTGACCTCCCTTATTCTCTCCCACTCCCAGTGAGGCAAATAATAAAAAAATCAGGAGTAAACAGAATGAATATAAACTTAGTGTAGAATGCAGCTTACAGCCCATTTTCAAAAGTCAAGAACAGTGTTCCTGCAGTGTGCCTAGAAACAGAATCCTTAATCTTAGGAGGGCTCCACCCGCTTGAAATTTCGCCCTTCCTTAGCTGGTATATCTGCACTGGCTGCCCTTGTAAAATTTACTAGCTAGGGAGGACTCCATTTCAAGGGAGAGGCTTTCAAGCCAGGATGCTGATGCTCCTGCAAATGCAAACTCTGGTCTACACCTTAAAGAGGAGCAGGAGAGCATTCAAGGACAGGTGGGGGAAACCTTTGGCTCTCCAGAACTACAACACCCATCAGCTCCAGCAAGCATGCTCATGGCTATGGAGGATGGACGTTGTAGTTCAGCAACCTCTGGAAAGCCAAAGCTTTCCCACACCTGTTCTTGCTTAAGGAGAAGCTTCCTAATACAGTAGAATGAGCTCTTTGACATTGGAACAGCCTTCTTGAGCTTTTCTTCGCCAGACTGCCATCGGTCAGGAATGCTACAGCTCCATCCTGCATTGGGCAGGGGATTGGGCTGGGTGACCTCCTAGGAAAGGATTGGTAAAACCCCAGCCCCTTATGTAAATATGAGCAAAGAGCTAAGACCACATGTCTTGACTTTCTGAATAAAGGATCTCCACCACCCCCTCCCAGTGTCATCTTTCAACTTCTCTGTCTCAGGGAGCTGCAAGCCTTCCTTGCAAGTCAGATCCTGTATCCATATTGTTCATGCGTAGGAACAGCTCTGTCCTAATTTTCCCCTTTAAGGCTGGACTATTTACCACTCTGTATTTTCAGAGGAAATGGCTGGGCAAACAAAGAGAACCTTAAACACCAGCCCTTTCCATATAGGCACTCTTGAGATTACTCGTTCTGTTCTAGGTGGCATAAGATTTCCACCCCTTTAGAAATTTTGTGACACAATTCCAGTGTCTTCTTCCACTTTTATTGCAGCAAAGGGAGAAATTGTGTCTGCCAAACTGTCTTGAAACCTCAGCCCAGCCACAAAGGGGTAACTTAAGGCAGGGCTGTTCCCGAAGGAACACAGTCCCAAAGGAACACAGCTCAACATAAAAAAAACAAAGATCATGGCCACTGGTCCCATCACCTCCTGGCAAATACTGTAGAAGGGGAAGAAATGGAGGCAGTGAGAGATTTTACTTTCTTGGGCTCCATGATCACTGCAGATGGTGACAGCAGCCATGAAATTAAAAGACGCCCGCTTCTTAGGAGAAAAGCAATGACAAACCTAGGCAGCATCTTAAAAAGCAGAGATATCACCTTGCCAACAAAGGTCCGTATAGTAAAAGCTATGGTTTTCCCAGTAGTAATGTATGGAAGTGAGAGCTGGACCATAAAGAAGGCTGATTGCCGAAGAATTGATGCTTTTAAATTATGGTGCTGGAGGAGACTATTCAGAGTCCCATGGACTGCAAGAAGATCAAACCTCTCCATTCTTAAGGAAATCAGCCCTGAGTGCTCACTGGAAGGACAGATCCTGAAGCTGAGGCTCCAATACTTTGGCCATCTCATGAGAAGAGAAGACTCCCTGGAAAAGACCCTGATGTTGGGAATGATGGAGAGCACAAGGAGAAGGGGACGACAGAGGGCGAGATGGTTGGACAGTGTTCTTGAAGCTACCAGCATGAGTTTGACCAAACTGTGGGAGGCAGTGGAAGACAGGAGTGCCTGGCGTGCTCTTGTCCATGGGGTCACAAAGAGTAGGACACACTAAATGACTAAACAACAACAACATACAACTTGATTTTTGTTGCCTCATTCCAAATTCCCATAAGTGCCTGATAGTCTTTGGGGTGAAGCAATTATTTTCTAGTCCTAGACCATATTGCCTTTAGAGAGAAATGTCTGCACATTTGCTTCAGCTGCATGAGCATTAACATTTCAAAAGCAAAGTTGTTTCCTGCTCATTGAATCCTTGCTGCCTTTAATTTTTCATTTGAAATAGCGCCTTCTCCATATCAGCTGTAAGAAGCCAAAGTAAGGCTGTGCATCATAACACTCAGGCAAGCACAATAAACAGGCAGGATCTGCAACAAAATGCTGTGCTGCACTGCACAGCGCTTCTGTTCAGCATTTCAGCCAGCCAGCCATGCCCTCCTGCAGCATACTCCATTCCCTATTCCCTTTCTACCCCCTTGGCTTTCTGTCCCCTGGTCCCCAACAGTCGGTCAGCATTCCATGCCTGCTGGTCCATTAGGATGGTTATCCCCTTCCCCTGCAAAATTGGAGCTCTCCAATCCTTGGGGTTTCCCCAAGCTTGCTCAGAACCGATCTCTTATGTATGAATGCTGCTGTTTTGGATACATAAGCAATGGCACTCAGGTTTGAACAATGGAAAAAGAGGAGACAATATTTCAAAGCTTTAAAAGGGTGCTGGGCCAATGGTCAGGCAAGATGGGAGTCATAGCTCCTCTGCCCTCCTTTAAAATGTTTACAGCAGCAAAGATATGCTACGTTTGAGGAGTGAATTGTGTGAATTATCATACCACGCAAACCTTTAATACAGAACAGATCTCTGGTCCTCTGGATGTTGCTGAACTCCAGCTCCTGTTACAGTGGTGCCCCGCAAGACGAAATTAATTCGTTCCGCAAGTTTTGCCGTCTAGCGAATTTTTCGTCTTGCGAATTATTATTTAGACAAAGGAAACAAAGTCGCGAGACGTTTTCGTCTTGCGAAGCAAGCCCATAGGGAAATTCGTCTTGCGAGGCAACTCGAAAACGGAAAAACCTTTCGTCTAGCGAGTTTTTTGTCTTGCGAGGCATTCGTCTTGCGAGGTACCACTGTATTCCTGGTCATTCCTCCTGCTAGTTAAAGCTGATGGGAGTTTGTGTTCATCAGCCCTGCTTTGATGAATATTTAAAAATCATATTTATGCCACCCTTCCTTTAGGTACTTCATAGTAGTTTACAGTGCTTTTTTCAGCTGGAATTCACCAGAATTCAGTTCTGGCACATCTCAGATGGGCACTATTGCCATTCTAAGAGAATGAGAGAGGTGTTCGTTGTGAGTTCAGGCATCTCTTTTTCTAGAAAAATATCACTGGTAGTTCATAAGAAGATACATATTCCCCCATATTTGACTTATCTCTAAGCATCATTAGAGTTAAATTGCAGAATGTCGTCTTCAGTGATTAAATAGGAGCTACTGGTAGAGTGCGGGACGTGGGTGGCGCTGTCGGTTAAAGCCTCAGCGCCTAGGACTTGCCGATCAAAAGATCGGCGGTTCGAATCCCCGCGGCGGGGTGTGCTCCCGTCGTTCGGTCCCAGCGCCTGACAACCTAGCAGTTCGAAAGCACCTCCAGGTGCAAGTAGATAAATAGGGACCGCTTACCAGCGGGAAGGTAAACGGCGTTCCATGTGCTGCGCTGGCTCGCCAGATGCAGCTTTGTCACGCTGGCCACGTGACCTGGAAGTGTCTCCGGACAGCGCTGGCCCCCGGCCTCTTAAGTGAGATGGGCGCACAACCCTAGAGTCTGGCAAGACTGGCCCGTACGGGCAGGGGTACCTTTACCTTTTACTGGTAGAGTGCAGCTAGCAAGAATAATTACAATTTCAGGCTAGTTTACATCAGGGTTCATGTTCTTAAAAACAGAAAAATTCCATTGTTTCATATTTAAATTTTTATTGCATTCCTTCTTCATAAACAAGACTCATTACTACCTAGCTTTGAATAAAATACTATGCTGAGATACACCAAGTCATCAGAGGTCAAAATACATTTAGCAATTTGTACTGCTATTCACCTAGGTCAGGAACGGAAAACATGTGACCCTCCAGATGTTATTGGACTCCATCGAGCCTAGACATTTATAGCCTTCTCAAAGCAAAAAAAGAGAAAAAAGTATTGTGTTACTGTGTTGGTGAGTTTCTGCATTTTATTACAGAATACAAGTATTCTGGGGTGTATTAGGTGTTAGGGGATGAGTAGTACCTCTGGTGGGGGATACATCCTTCTCTTTCTGGGTCCCCACCCTGCACTCAGCTCTCGCCTGTGGTTCCTAGAAGCTGCCAATATGTGTCAGGGGCCACAAATTGTTTCAACTGACCAGCTAAACCAAGTGATGGTAGCCGGTGGGTCTCAAACGTATAGAGAGTTAGGGACTTGCCCTGCAAGCAAAGATTGAACGGATGAGACCGATCATGGGTACAACAGTCAAGAAGGCAGTTTCTGCATGCTCTGTAGAGGAAGTCATGGGCAGATGAGGCTTGTCACCTGGGAAGGAAGCCCATCTAGGAGAAGGAAAACTCTGACCCTAAACCTGTGTTGCCTTGCAGGATATATTTGGGAGAAGACAAGGCAAAGGCGTAAAC